GGTTTGGAACAAGATACATAGAACTTCATTGTTTGGTTGTACGATGAGACTGTAACCTGAAGTTTTAACGAATATTATTGAATCTATGACATACATAGAAAATTAGAGTAAATATTCATAAGGTTTTATTATATTTAAATGAAATATTTTTTTTATATATATTTGAATGTACCTAATAACATATTATATAATATTTGTCAAAATATTTTATTACATAAGTGTTCACTATTTTGTGGTATAGACTATACGGCCCACTCGAGCGGTCATACTAGGCATGGAGGGTCAATCGAGTAAACATTATAATACAGTATAAAAAAAAAAAAATGATACAATGTCCAATTTGTTTCACTCTGCCAGTTGTGTGTGTGCAAAGATTAATTGGTATCCAGTGGAGATGGTCCTTATTGGCTTATAAAAATATAAAAATAAACATCATGCACAGCCATAGCTGTGTCCCAAAGACGGAATTTCAAAGAATTTTTAAGAACATCTTTTACAGACTAAATAATAAATATTAATTAGGTTCAGTTCATCAATAAATTTAACTTCTGGAATTAAAGCTAAAGGAATTCGCCTTTGTGATGAAAACTAATTCCATGTTAAATACCCACTTAAAGTAAAAAATTTAATGAATCAATAAATAGTGAAGCTTCTTAATCCAGGTAGTGGAAACATTTTTACTGATTACTGTTAAAGAAACATCTAATTGTTGAAAACACGAATATAAAGTAGTATTTGTTTACTTAGGAAAAAATATAACTTCAAAAACAGACCTAAGTAATGAAGAATTATTTTGACATAAATCAGTCATTTACCATAGAAATCATAAATGTATGTAAAATACTCCTTCAGCGCTAGCAAGTCGTATAAAGATACTTAAAGTTTCCACCAATTCAAGAAAATAATATTTCTGCATTTTCTAAAGGTGATTTTCTAGTTTCTGATTTGTTGTACAAAGTGAATACTTCAAAGGAGAAAATGTAGTCCTTTTATGCTCAAGTTTTGGATATCGAATATAACGTTTCAAATTCCAATCCTATTAAGTTAAAACAGAAATATCTCAAATAAACTGCTGGATTGAGAGATATTAAGGGAAGTTACTATTAACTATAAGCTAGGTACATAGTTTATTTATTTTTATATGAAAAAAGAAATTTTTAACTTAACGAGTTAAGTTTTGTTTAGATGATAATAGTAACAATGCCTTTACTAACCAGTTAGTTAATTTTAAAATCATCATAAATAAACTTCTTTATAATATAAGTCTCACGGGTTTAAATATGACTTGTTTTGTACAAATAACAAATTCTAATTTTTTAAGAAAAAAAAACAATAATAAACGGAAAAAGATAATATACCTACTAATATTTATAACATTATATACTGAATATTGTACACTATCGAAAATAAATAAATACAACACAAATCTACATAAATTGACAAAATTATGATCTCACCAACACTTACTAATTTAAATTCACAAAACAATAACTTTACACATCTAACCTAAGTTGACCTTTAAAGAAACGTGGGTGATGGTTCGGTGATTTCTTAAAAATGAACTTAATTTTAAACTTAAATTATTGAGTTTTATCATTCGATGGTCTCCCATTCTGTTATTTTTCCGCCAATTACCCTTATATAGTTATATGTATTATTAGCACTGTTTATTTCTGTTTTTGTGCATTTATACATAGGGCTTATATTATTTGTATAATTATATCAAACTTGCATAATGTGCTTTGTTATAGATTGTACTTAACATTCAAATTAAAAAATATATACAACACATTTTTGACCAAGTTAAGTTAGGTACTTTTTTCAATTCAACTATAGTAACATTCACAAGTTTTAAAAAATGAAATGTTATTTCTAACTTTAAACTTAACTGACATTTGTCTTAAAAACTTAACTCATCGACTTAAACAAATTAGTTATCTTACCCAGCTTTCTCAACTATAGAAAGTATGTAAAAATAAAAATCTTTACACTTTAATCGTAATGAAATTAGTTAACGTAATTGTATTTTTTAACACATATTAATTACAATTATTATGTAACGCTGAATAATATTACAAATTAGTTGATATCCTAATCGATGTGTATAAACTACAATATTGATTATCAGTGCGTTGACAATGATTGACAATTGTTATATTTCTATGAATAATTTTAACTTTAAATTGTTTGGTGTTACTAATTTAATTGTCTTATTGAAGTCAAACGTATTCATAAAAAAATGATCAAAACTTAGTTATAACATACCGACATTCTCCAGCTTCGCATTGACCAAATATTCTTTGTTTGAAGCTTAAAAATTAAATGTAGGTAGGTATCTATCTAGTACTTACAGTGTGTAAATTCAAGATTTAGAATGCCTTTAGTTTTTTCTGTAAGTATTAAATATAGCAAGTTGTACGAATTTATGACTATAACATTCTAAAATCTTGTTAATATAATTTAATAAAGTGGGAATGTTATATTTTATACTGTAAAATAGTAAATTGGCTATTGTTAGGTTTACATTTTAACGGTTGCATATTATGCGATTCCAAATATAATAGTTGACTGCCAAACTATTTAGCAATCAGCGAACCATAATATTTTGGCTAAATATTAACTACATATTAAAAAGGTTTTATTTCCAAAAATATTAGTGAACGACTGTGTTTAAAGATGAATTGAATAGGGTAAAAAATGTCTAAAATATATAATTCTACAATATTATGCTTTGATACTGTAGGTAACACAATTAAGTAATGATTTAGTAATAATTATATATTGATCTAATTTGAACAGGTATTTAAAGCTTTTTATTGTTTTTAATAATATTAACAAAGTTTTAAAAAACCAAGTATATACCGAGATAATTATAATACTGCAGAAACATATAGTGAAAAAAAAAATATAAATACGTAATAATTTTCAATCGGCAAATATATGCATATTGTGCATATTGTTCCTACAACACCTGCGGTCAATGAGGAAAGGGGTATTCTCAGACTTGATGTATTGCCGTAAAGGTTGTTAATTAAACACACACACCATTTTGGAAGGTAACATGATCACTCCCTTGCTTGCATGTGTGAAAGTACCTACTTGCAACGTGTAGGCATCAATGAGAGAAAAAGTTAAAGTTGAAGTAAATAATTTTTTAACCGTAGACAAAGACGTGAAAAGGACGAAGTCGAAAGCGGATACCGGAAGCTGTGACCAAAGAAGAAGATTCTATAATGATGGTTCTTCAGTCCCTTCATCAGAATCTTTCTTTTGAAACAATACGCATATTGTATGGTCAGGCGGAAACCTGATGATTTGTTTCACAAAACATTGTATCTATAGGGGCTATGACATGTTTAGGACGTAATCAGAAGCATTGGCGGAGCGTCATAGGAGACAATGAGATAACGTCCACCTAAATACGGAGAATCAAAATTATCAAAATATAATTGATACGCACCATCGATCGTGAGCTTCGCGGTTACTTGAAAATAAATATTTATTTATTTATTTGTTTTTGATGGGGCCGAGTAAAAATATAATTAAATTTTTTTTTTTTGTTTGAACAAGTTAAACATTTAAAAAAAAATAGACAGCCAAACCAACGATGAATAGAAATACTTTTTTACTCATGCTTTTTTTAGATATACCAATAAAAGTATATTGAACTCCATGTAGCGACAGGTAGTGCTCGGAATTCGGATACCCTATTCCCTATATAGTATAGGTACTCATATATATATATTATATTAAATATTATGTTGAATATGTTAATAAAAGTTCAACAATTTTGGGAAATTTGCCCATTCAAACACGAAATCAGTCGTGTATTCGTGTGTAGGTACATATTATATTATACATATATAACAGGATATACTCAAATTAAGTTCCATTTTTGTCGTTCCTTTGAGCTCGATATGTACAGTATTTTGGCATCTATATAGGTAATAGAATGTATATTATTATGTTTTTTTTTTGTCGTGCACATGTATACACATGTAGGTTGCAAATATAACCCAATTCATTACCATATATTGTTTGGATTTCGAAAAATACAATATATATATATATATATATATAGTGAACTGTGACTCGATAAAAGAAAGAAAACCGAAAAAACGCATCGTTTTTACGTCGTCGTCGTCGTTGGAATAATAATATTCACGTTCGCTCCGATATAGGTTTATGCCATATTATTATATTATATTGCGTATGGATGGTAATACATAATAATTGCCGTTAAAGCATTCGAATTCGAATGCAGAGTCGTTCGAAACACGCGCGGTTGTCAGATCTCGTCTCAGAAGTTCTTTCGCGCGCGTTCTTTATATAATGATAATAATTAGTAATGTAATGATATATAATAATATATACATTATATAATATATATAGAGCAAATATTGCAGACGACGCGATACTTTATTTCCGTGGAATTTCATCAGGCACATGCACAATTCAAAAAATATAGATACGTGCTCGAGAAATTCTGAGACTGGTCCGAGGGGAATTATACACTGCCGATGACATAGCCGCGATGTAGCGAATATCGAATGCGATTCACCGCTGCACAACGCGTTAGAATGTCGCACGTCCGTTGAATTATATTATTATACTGCAGCAGTTATTAATGTGGTTCGCACACGACTACGTGGGTAATATCATTTTGTATACTATGGCGTGGATATACATATAATATAGCGTTCTAACCGTAGTAGTACGATACGACGGTCGAAATAAAACGTACTATATTGCTGCAGTAGGTACGATAATAATTACACCGGAAAATCAAATAACATTTGTGGCATAATCGACACCCATTATACCTGCGAGGTACACTATGTAATAATAATGAAACGACAAGTCGCGTTCTATAGCACGAGATATGCGCCTAGACACCTTGTCGGGTACACGCATCGCTTACATTAGATGTAGGTACCTAGGTCTTAAAATTAACAATGAATTATCGTGTCATAATGAAATATATTAAATGTGTATATCACCTGTCGGGCGAGGTACGCGTGGTGACGGCCCAGCACGGCCATGGTGAGCACGTAGGTGACGCACGTGGTGGCGCTGAGGGCTATGCACAGTGCCAGAGTGAGAGGCAGGGACACATAAGCCAGGTAATCGTAGAGCAGTATCCATCCGAGCAGGTCGGCGCCCTCGGCCGCGTTGGCCACCATGTGGAACACGACCTGAACGTCGGCGGTGAGCCAGGCCAGGTGGGCCACGGCCGTCCAGTACCGGCGCCGGCCGCCGGCCAGCCGGCACCACAGGAGCGTGCCCACGTTGGCGGCCAGCAGGCACCACGTCCACGGCGACCGTGCGTCGTACACGGACAGGCAGTACACGTCGAACAGCACGGACGCGGACACGTAACACGCGAACGCCGCTCGCTTCTGCTTGGCGTTGTAGCTCTGGTACAGGCTCTCAGTGGCCCTGTCCGCGAACCGCCCGGCGTTGGGCGACGAGGACGAGGCGCCGGCCGCCGAAGTCGGCGGTGGCGTGGATTCCATCAGCCGGCGCGGGCTTTCGTCTTCCGCGTTTAGTGAAGTTGCTTCACGCTGCTCCTCTGTGACCGGTGGCAATCGACGGCGATAATATTAAAATGATTTAAGTATAATATGTACCGTAGGTATAGTGTGTGCCGCACAGGGTCTTGGTCGACAGATGTATTTCAACACAGTAGTTATATTATTACAATATAATAAACGGTCCGTCAATAAGTCGTGTATACGACTACGATATAATAATAACTGTCACTACAATAATAATTATTTGATCATTATTGTCATTATCGCCTGGATGATTTAATATTAATTACAACAAATAATTATAAATATATCATATTTATTGCGATAAAAAAAACGTATGCTGTATGATTTACTATAACACGGACGCGGAACCGGCGCGTGTTGGGCCCCTTCCCCCCGGACGGTGCGCGAACGCGTGCGTTGGACCTGTGCTTGGGACCCGACCGATACACGACCGACACACTCGTCGCGCCCGGTGCCACTGACGCTACCGTCGCGATCGCCGCCGTAGCCGTCGTGCGTTCGCCGTCGTCGTCGCCGTCGGCCGCGGTGATCGTCGTGGTCGCGGTCGCCGCCGCCGCCGTCGTCGTAGTCGCAGTCGTTGCCGTCGACGTCGTCCGTAGAATCGCGGCGGTAGTCGCCGTCCGAGTCCTCGGTGTTGCCCGCCGCCGCCGCCGTGAGCGTTGGCCGTCGTCGTGGTGCGAGCGGTGGGCACCGGTCGACGGTGGTGGTGTTGCCGCTCGCTGCTCCCGAGCCGCCTGCTGCTGATATTAACGAGCGTCCCCGCCGCCGCCGCCGTCACCGCCGCGAGACCACAATCGATATCAGGCGCGCGCGCCAAATAACGTACGCAGCTCACACACGCGCGCGGGCGCGCACACGCGGCACCCACTTATACCGTGGTATAATAGGTGTGCGAGCGGCAGCAGAATAGTACTATAGTAATACAGTAATACGCGCGCGAAATTCCCCCCACCCACCATCATGAGGAGTCGCACTCTTCCGGTCGACAATGAGTGGCGGCGTCGATCCGTTCTTTTTGCCATTATTGTTATTCTTTTTCTTTTCCGGTCACTCGCGCGGCGTACCGCAACGTATAGGCACACGCGCGGTCCTCGACGTTGACGTTGCGGTCGTCCGCTGAAGACTCAACCGTCGCCCCGCCCGTAGACGATTTTTGTTTTCAGGAATACATCGCATTCGGAATACGGTTTAGTTCGCAAAACAAAAAACTAATATCTCTTGCCCCTGCCCCGATAATTATTGGTCCAATGCATGTGCTTCCCCTGAAATACGCATAGATACTATAAATTATAATATAATGGCATGCGTGTTAATGTCTAAAATAGTAATAAGCTCTTGCGTTGCGTGTTGCTCCAGCGGCCTACAACTTGTTTTTTTCATCCCTTGAGCAGCGCTTAATGCATCTAAAACACGTTCCGGTTACTGAAATATTATAGGTAATGTACTCGATAGGCGATAAAAGTTCAACTGTTATAGAGTTATCTAAGTATCCTATATAATAATATATACAATAATATTTTATAGTACATAGATATATTAGTACCTATACCTATATCGCATATTATGATATTATAATAGTATATGGTTACGGTTTTGGTTGAATTTTAAATAAGTATAAAAATATTATAATGGGTATATATTATTAGATTTACCAATAATACATCGGTGGAAATATATTCAGAAAAAATCTAAAGTGATGGTAAACTGCAGAATACGTAGACAACAAGTATGCCCACACATTTGGTTTAATTTTTTTGTTTGATATCCATATTCATTATTTTAACGACAAATGTTTTCACTGAACGAAGTAAATGATGAAGGTTCCTGGGAACTAGAAAAGAGTTTAAAAATTATGCTGACTTTTATGTTAATCTAGAAAAACATGGAATGGTTAAAAAAATTACTAAGAAAACCAGGCTAAGCAGCGTCGGTTGGACATTAGTACAACTAAGCCCAGGAGAAATGGCGCAAATGGGGCAGACTTTTAAAATTACTAGGAAAGGTTATCAAATATTTTGAGATTCAGAATAGTTAATTTATTCGTAATAAGAATATTGGTAATGGGGGTAAGAAAGGATAATATTATAACATATAATACAAGTAAAACACAACACCGTTGCCATACAACAGCACTGCCAAATGAGTAGGTTTGCACTCTTCAAACAACTACACAAAGTGCCAAACAATGTACTTGTCCCTAGGCAGTTCATTTAGTATGAATTCTTAAGATCTTCACTAGGACTAGACACTTGAACTCTATTCTCCATAATATCAACAATTATACTTGTATAAAGAATTAATGACAAAACGGGCATCTAGAAATAAAGGCCGAGTCAAGCAATCGCGCTATGAAGAAAACCGAATTAACGAATACCACCCATACGCTTACAGTAGTATAAAATGGACAGTTCTGATGCCTCAACCCTCAACCCTCAACC